AAATGAATTAGGCAAGATTCTTTTAAGTGTAATTTAACTGAATATTTACAACTTTATTTATTAAGTAGATGTTCACTTCTGAAGGTTGCAAGGGAGCTCATTTAAATTCTTTAACATAAAAATATTGAGAGCACAATAAGAAAAACAATAAATATTTCAGTTTTGCAACTTTAGGAGGCGAAAAGAATACAGAAAGAAAGCTTTGAAATACATGTTTTGTTAATAGTGGTGATGCCCAGTACTGTTATATATGATTTCAATGTCCTAGGTAGGTCTTTTATAATATATGCAATCCCTAAGTCAAAAAGTAATTTGATAGAATCAGTGTTAATAGATATTATTTATATAAACACAATATAGATTGTTATTGTTTAAACATCCCGAACAAGATAGTGTTGTGGCCCGCAGGCGGCCAGCGGAGCTGGCAGCAGAGTCGGACAGTGAGGAGGTCGGGGAGGAACTTGGGCCAGTCCTGGGGGCTGGGGAAAGCTTGGACGTGGGCTCTGCGTTGGAGGCAGAGAGGGAGATAGACAGCAGCGAGGCAGAGGAACAGTTGGAGCCTGTTCCCAGTGTGTGCATGCGCAGAGCTGCCAGAAGACAAGAACAATTCAGAAAGCAGGGTCGACTCCAGAGTAAGGCCACATCTTGGAGATAATTGGCCCCTCCCATAGGAAATAAAAGAGGAGCAAACAGGGAGTGGGCTTTTGCAGGAAACAATTCGTTTATTCCGTGACTCTGAGAGACTCTGTTCCAAGTTTTGCCTTGTACTGCAATTTACGTGGCAGCTTGCCAAATGAGATAAGGTATGTTGAAAAATATTCCTTTGAAAAACTGTTTGGACAAACCTTGCTGACTGTGAATGAACGTAATTCACAGTCGTGTAAATAAAAGAGGTTTTGCCAGTAATTCCTGCCTCCTGCTTGTTAAGGGAGCCTAGGTCAGAACAGATAGTGCCATGAAAGAATAAAACATGATTACCTGTGAATCTATCCATGATTATTCATCCATAAGTATCAATACTAAATGGATGGATTTAAAGACATCAGTATATTCATACAGAATACTCTTACTCTTTCAAGAATCAGTAAAAGAACTATTCCACTCCCCTGTATCATTTATTGCTTTAGTCATGATGGTTACTAAGCTAAACAAAATAGTTTGTTACCCCATCATTAGTTTTATTTCAACAGCTTCATAATTAACAGAAATTAAGAACTGACCAGCAAAAGTCCAGGAACAATAAAAGTGTAGCTGGGAAAGTATTTGAATCCTAGTTAAGGTCACCTGTCAGCACCAGATAAAGGTAAAGGTAAAGGTTCCCCTCGCACATATGTGCTAGCCATTCCTGACTCTAGGGGGCGGTTCTCATCTCCATTTCAAAGCCAAAGCGCCAGAACTGTCCGAAGACGTTTCTATGCTCATGTGGCTGGCATGACTAAATGCTAAAGGTGCACGGAACGCTGTTACCTTCCCACGAAAGGTGGTCCCTATTTTTCTACTTGCATTTTTATGTGCTTTCAAACTGCTAGGTTGGCAGAAGCTGGGACATGTAACTGAAGCTCAGCCCAGTTGCAGTAGAGATTTGAACCACTCAACTGCTGACCTTTCGATCAACAAGTTCAGCATCTTAGCCACTGAACCACCGCGTCCCTTGTGAGCACCAGATACTTGCTATTAAATCTTGCAGTAAAGTGATATTTCCATATGGCAATAGCACTTAGAATATAGCAAAAGTGCCTAGACTTATATTTGCAGCACTTTCTGACCATACAGTCCCCAATAATCTGGCTCCTCATTTTACTGACCTCAGGAGGATGGAAGTCTGTGTCAATCTTGAGCCATTCAGGATAAAACTCCAGATTGTGGGCAGAATTTGCCTGCAATAATGCATTCTAGCCATAGGTTTGCACTAGCAGGGCTCATAAACTATACCCGTGATGGCAAACCTATGGCATGCGTGCCACAGGTGGCACGCGTAGCCTTATCAGTGGGCACGTGAGCTCAGCTGATTTTCGGGCCTTCTGGGCCCACCAGAAGTAGTGAAACAGGCTGTTTCCTGTATCCGAAAGGCCTCAGGGGGTGGTGGGGAAGGCCCATTTTTTCCCCCAACCTCCAGAGCCTTTCTAGGAGTCTGGGGAGGGCGAAAACAGCCTTCCCCACCCCCTCTGGAGGCCCTCCGTAGGCAAGAAATGGCCCATTTGCCAACTTCCAGTGGGACCGGAAGTTGGAAAATGGGCCATTTTCACCCTCCCCAGACTCCTAGAAAGGCTCTGGAGGCTGGGGAGAGCAAAAAATGGGCCTTCCAGTCCCACCAGAAGTTGGCAAATGGGCCGTTTTCAGCCTCTGGAGGGCCTCCAGGGGGATGGGGAAGGCCGTTTTTGCCATCCCCAGACTCCTAGAAAGGCTCTGGAGGCTGGGGAAAGCAAAAAACAGGCTTACCGTTCCATTGTGTGCCAGAAGTGGAGGGAGCGTGGGGAGGTCGCGTGCGCATGCACAGGGGCAGGACACATAGAATTATGGTTGTGGACATGCGTGTGCATGTCCCCTCTCCTGGCACATGACGGCAAAAAGGTTAGCCATTACTGCACTATACAGTAGTGGAGCTATTAATTCTTCTTCTTTTTTTATATTTTATCTTTGTTTACAGAAAGTAATACTGGCAGTGATGAAAGGGAGCGTTATAAAACTGAGAAGGACAGGAAGGAATCACTGTGTTTAGAGAATAACCCAACGTAAGGTGAATCTTGCCTTTGAGTAATTGCTGTTGTTGTTTTTAAAATATAAATTTTATTAAATAATTTTTAACAATATGAAAGCGATATATATTTGGAAAGAAAATAAGAAAGAATACTAAGAAAGATAAAATTTAGAAACGGAAAAGTTATAGAAGAAGTGGCTTGTGACTTTTTTTTGGCATGGGTTGTTATAAATGCATTTATATTTTCCCCTCTCCCTCTAAATTTACATCGTAATTTCCTTCCTCCATTAGCCAATCTTTCTAACCATCAAATCCATCAATCACACGTTCAGTTTTTTCTTTTGTTCAGCAAAAAGTCCATAATTTTTCTTACTATAATTTTATTGAAGAAAATTTAACTAGAGAAAAGCAATAGAAATGTTAGGAAATAAAATAAGGAGTGAAGAAAGAAAATAGAAAAGGGGGAAAAAAAGAAAAGGGGAAAAAATGCCTTTGAGAAATTGTTGAAGAATTTTCTTCTCCTAGAGAACCCACCATTTTGAGTTTTGTTTTGTTTTGACCACAGATTTGAGGGAGAATCTCAAAAAAGCCGTTTGTGCCTTGTTATAGCATTATTTCCAGTGTCATTGTGGTCAATGGGTTAGCTGTCAGTTACAATATCCCACTGGTAGTCGGCAGGGGGGGAGTTCTAAAATTTTTTACTACCGACTCTGTGGGCGTGGCTTATTTTGTGGGCGTGGCTTGATGGTCATGTGAAAATTCTTTAGGATTTAGCAGAGGTACTGATCTACCAGGCTTTTAACAGCTTGCAGAGCTGTACCGGTCTACTCATTTGTTTTTGGAGGCACTGGTCTACCCATTTATTTTTGCAGGCACCGGTCTACTCATTTATTTTCTTTTAACACTGATCAGCTGTAGGGTGGCCCTTTGAAGCCCCGCGGCAAGAGTTTAAACAGTTTTTTTCCCTCTAGCCGATCAGCTGGGACTCAGGAGGCAGCAATAGATTGGGGGTGGGGCCAAATAAAAGGTAAGAATAATGCAGGGGGGGCGGGGGGGCAGAACCAGTTCGGTGACATCATGTCATCACCACTACTGGCTCGGTGGAACCGGGCTGAACCAGGAGGAACCCACCACTGATAGTCAGTAGGAGAAAATTATGAATGTTTCCTTTCTACTTAAAAGTTTGAATGAAGTGGTTCTTGCTCTCAATTTCTATTAAATTAATGGAGATATTAATGGAAAAAGTATTTTCCAATTAACATCTCATGGAAGGGGCAAGGGAAGCAAATATGTTATGATACTAACTCTGCAACTCAACAATGAAAAGGTAGAATTTGCATTGTGATGTCATGACACATATTTCATCATTTTGGCATCACTGTAATTAGGAATGAACATCTGCGTCTTTAATAATTTGATATTTGAAAGTAAACCAATAATAAGTACAGCACAACAGTGGAATAAACTGTACAGAAAAATAATTAGTGAACAATAATGCTAATAAGACAAAATTCCAAACTCCATTCTCATAATGTCTTAGTTCAAGAACCATTTTTATGTTATAAATAATAACGATATATATTCATTCCTCAAATTGGTGTTCTCTAGAATGTGTTAAAATTTTAATTTCTGTATAGCATTTGCCAACTGATTATTGGATTTGAACTTCAAACATTTGGGCAGATTAATGCATGCATACCAGAGGTGGTATTCAGCAGGTCCTGACCAGTTCTGGAGAACCGGTAGTGGAAATTTTGAGTAGTTCAGAGAACTGGTAAATACCACCTCTGACAGGCCCTGCCCCCATCTATTCTCTGCCTCCCGAGTCCCAGCTGATTGGGAGGAAATGGGGATTTTGCAGTAACCTTGCCCTGGAGTGGGGTGGGAATCAGGGGTGGGTTCCACTTACCTTTACTACCGGTTTGCAGCGGGAGTGTGCATGCTTCTATGCATGCATGCAGATCACCCATGATGACGTTGTGGTGGGTGGGCGGAGCCTCCCGCTGGTTTTACTACCAGTTCTATAGAACCGGACCGAACCAGGAGCAACCCACCACTGGTGGAAATGGAGATTTCACAGTATCCTTCCCCTGCCATGCCCACCAAGCCACGCCAAAAGAACCGATAGTAAAATTTTTTGAATCCCACCACTGATGCATACTCTCCTACACATATTGTTCGGAAAAAAAAAAGGTGGGGGGGGGTTGCATAATAATTCCTTCTCCGCCACAAAAATCAACTTGTTTTGTCAGAAGTTTCAAAGGGAACAGAATTTTAAGTGTCAGCTGGTGCGTTCACTCACCTCAGCAATGAAAGACTTGGCTGTCGAAGGGTTCATTACCAAAATGGCCCGCCTCAGCGTGTCCCGATAGCGGTTGAGTTCTTCAATCCGCATGGTGGTGAAGAGTCCTGTGATCATTTTATTGATGTTGTTCTCCACTTTCTGAAGTGCTACATCCATTCCCTGCTGAGATACTTTGTCCAAAAACTCTTGTATTCCACGGATATCTGGGAACATCAAAAACTCATCAGAATGCTAATTACCAAATAGAACACAGACAAAACCAATTTGGTCTTATCTGGAGAAAGGTATTGTGCCTCACGTTAAACAACCACCACCCCTGAAGCCACATTAACTTAATATTCATTGCAACTGTTTGTTAGCTAGATTCCTGACATGTCCTAAAGGGCTAATTTGTGAGTAGAAATTTTTAGGCATTAGTTTATTTTGAAAAGAACAATAAAAAAAAAAAGAATTTAATTATCCCTGGTTTGTTTTCCTTGGATGCTCATAGTATGAGACCAAATCCTGACAGACTGTGTTGTTTATTAAGTAACACCTGCCAAGAAAAGGGACAATAAGTTATCAAAAGGCAATCTACCACTGATTTTACTCCACCTGATAGAACCCAGAAATCACATTATAACAATAGCCCCCCCTGTCAACAGGAAAAAATATTTAATTTAGAAGTGGAAAACATTTACAGCAATGGCACTTATAGTAAATACGTCAAAAGAATTGAGAATATAAATGAGTGTCTATACTAGGCAGAGTAACACTTTGAGACCAATTGCATGGATACACCTTCAAAATCTAATGATAGGAAAAATTTTTAAAGAAGCCAGGTACAAATTAATATGAACTGAGAAGGATGGGCTACACAATGGTAATGGGTAGGAAAAAAATAATTCCTCTCTTTGTCACTCTAACTAAAAATAAGTTTCTAAAACTGATTAATTACATCTCAAATTAAAATTAGAGTGCTTCAGGCTTTTTCTGAAATGCAGATAGCACCTTAGATGATATCTGTCAGGTCTATTCTAAGGAGAAAAATACTTAAAGTTCTCTGTTTCTACTCTTACTTACCTGAAATTTCCCAGGTTTGATCATTAAAAAAAAAACAAATTAAAATAAAATCACCTCACTCAAGCATTTGACCTTACACGAGTATTAATTCTTACTTTGAAAGCAACTCTTCATTTCCATCTATCTATTTAAAGTTTTGTTCAGGTATGAGTTGACAATATTGGATATATGTATCATGTCAAAAGCTGCCAGAAGTATACTGAATGGTTAAAAAAAGCCCAACAGTTGTTTTTGCCAGCGTTGTTGCAATGATTATTTGACTGAGGACTGATTTAGATATATCTGCTTTCATAGAAAGTCTAAAATACTTTGGGCTTAGCGTTCCTTGGACTGACCTTATGAATGGAAATAGTCAGAATTGGATGCCAGAATTTTGGTTGAAGATAATTAAGGTAAAGGTAAAGGTTCCCCTCGCACATTTGTGCTAGTCATTCCTGACTCTAGGGGGTGGTGCTCATTTCTGTTTCAAAGCTGAAGAGCCAGCGCTGTCCAAAGATGTCTCTGTGGTCATGTGGCTGGCATGACTAAACGCCAAAGGCCCACGGAACGCTGTTACCTTCCCACCAAAGGTGGTCCCTATTTTTCTACTTGCATTTTTTATGTGCTTTCAAACTGCTAGGTTGGCCGAAGCTGGGACAAGTAACGGGAGCGGCCCTAGGGATTCGAACCGCTGAACTGCTGACCTTTCGATTGACAAGTTCAGGGTCTTAGCCACTGAGCTACCGAGACCCTTGAAGATAATTAGGCAGCCCAAACTAACCTTCTAAAAAGGAAGAACAATTTAGAAGTGTAGATAAATACATATAAATGCATATATGTAGGTAACTTAATGTCCCTGAGCAACAATGGACCGTAAATGTCTCTTTTGGCACTGACAGACTTTTTACTAAAGTCAGACTTTTTACAGGGGACAGACTTTAGTAAAAAGTCTGTCAGTGCCAAAAGAGACATTTATGGACTGCCTTTGAGTTTCTTTAGTTTCTCATTTTTAAAAATGAGAAGCTGGTGTATGACAAAGCAAAGCAGCAGAGCCCATCATTTTTATACCTGAGAACACTCACATTGAGCCACACTGACATTTTTAAGACATCAAAGTGATAAGTGGCTGCAGTACAGTAGGGTTGGAAACTCATCTGCTCAGAAAAAGGTTTTTTTAAAAAAAAACATTAGGGTACAAAAAACCCTAGTGGGACATGATGGCTCAGTGGCTAAGATGCTGAGCTTGTTGATCAAAAGGTCGGCAGTTCAGTGGTTCGAATCCCTAGTGCCGCATAACGAGGTGAGCTCCCATTACTTGTCCCAGCTTCTGCCAATCTAGCAGTTTTAAAGCACGTAAAAAAATGCAAGTAGAAAAATAGGGACCACCTTTGGTGGGAAGGTAACAGCGTTCCATGCACTTTGGGCATTTAATAATAATAATAATAATAATTTTATTTCTATACCGCCCTTCTCCCGAAGGACTCAGGGCGGTGTACAGCCTATTTAAAAACACAGACAAAACAATGATATAAAATTTAAAATAATTAAATAAGTGGCTCAAATTTAAAACCCCAATAAATTTAAATACCCCAATTTAAAACTATTGTGTTGATAGTCCGGCCTGGCGGAACAACAGGGTCTTCAATGCGCAGCGAAACACCCGGAGGTCGGAGATCTTACGAATTTCCGGGGGCAGTTCATTCCACAGGGCTGGGGCTCCCACAGAGAAGGCCCTCCCCCTGGGCGTCACCAGCCGACATAGCTTGGCCGATGGCACCCTGAGGAGGCCCTCTCTGTGGGAACGAACTGGTCGGTGGGAGGCTATTGGTGGCAGAAGACGGTCTCGGAGGTACCCGGGTCCTATGCCATGGAGCGCTTTAAAGGTGGTAACCAACACCTTGAATCGCACTCGGAAGACCACCGGGAGCCAGTGCAGCTCGCGCAGGAGGGGTGTCACATGGGCATAACGGGTTGCGCCCATAACCACCCACGCGGCCGCATTCTGGACCAGCTGGAGCCTCCGAGTGCTCTTCAAGGGGAGCCCCATGTAGAGAGCATTACAATAGTCCAACCGGGAGGTGACAAGGGCATGAGTGACCGTGCGCAAGGCGTCCCGGTCCAGAAAGGGCTGCAACTGGCGAATCAGGCGAACCTGATAAAAGGCCCCCCTGGCCACGGCCGTCATGTGCTCTTCTAAAGACAGCCGTGCATCCAGGAGGACACCCAGATTGCGAGCCCTCTCTGTGGGGGGCAAAGATTCACCCCCAATAGTCAGCGATGGCACCTGCTGACTATATCGGGGCGCCGGAAGCCACAGCCACTCAGTCTTGGAGGGGTTGAGTCTGAGCCTGTTCCTCCCCATCCAGACCCGCACGGCCTCCAGGCAGCGGGACATCACATCAAGGGCATCGTTGGGGTGGTCTGGGGTGGAGATGTACAGCTGAGTATCGTCAGCGTACAGATGACACTTCACCCCAAAACCACGGATGATCTCACCCAGCGGCTTCACATAAATGTTGAACAGGAGGGGCGAGAGGACCGACCCTTGCGGCACTCCCCATGCGAGACGCCTCGAGGTCGACCTCTGCCCCCCTGCCAACACGAACTGCGAGCGGTCGGAGAGGAAGGAGGAGAACCACCGCAAAACGGTGCCCCCTATTCCTAACCCCCTCAACCGCTGCAGCATGATACCATGGTCGATGGTATCAAAAGCCGCTGAGAGGTCTAATAGGACCAGGACAGAGGAACAACCCCTGTCCCGAGCCCTCCAGAGATCATCCACCAACGCGACCAATGCCGTTTCTGTGCTGTACCCCCGCCTGAAGCCCGACTGGTACGGGTCTAGATAGATAGCTTCATCCAGGTGCCGGGGAAGTTGTCGTGCCACCACGCTCTCAACAACCTTCGCCACAAAACGAAGGTTGGAGACTGGACGATAGTTGGCTAATTCAGCCGGGTCCAGGGAAGGCTTCTTGAGGAGGGGCCTCACTACTGCCTCTTTCAAGGCAGCAGGAAAGGCACCCTCACCCAGAGAAGCACCTATAATCCCCTGGAGCCAGCCTCGTGTAACCTCCCGGGAGGCCAGTACCAACCAGGAGGGACACGGGTCCAATAAACACGTGGCGGCACTAATCTTACCCAGGACCCTGTCCACATCCTCGGGAGTCACAGGATCAAACTCCTCCCAGATAACATTCTCAAGACCTGCCCCAGTCTCCTCCCGTGGACTCATCCAATCGGAGTCCAAGCCATCCCGAATCCGAGCGACTTTATCGTGCAGGAATTGCACAAAATCCTCAGCACGACCCTGCAAGGGATCTTCCCGCACTCCCCCCCGAAGAAGGGAGTGGGTCACCCTAAACAGGGCGGCTGGGCGGTTCTCTGCAGATGCGATAAGAGCGGAAAAATGGTTAGAGTTTGCCGCTTTTATCGCCACTAGGTAGGTCTTGATATAAGACCTCACCTGTGTCCGGTCGGAATCGGATTGACTAGTCCTCCAAATGCTCTCTAGGCGTCTTTTCCGACGCTTCATCTCTCTCAGCTCCTCAGAGAACCAAGGAGCTAATTGAGATCGGCATCGGGTCAGAGGCCGCAAAGGCACGACGCGGTCCAAAGCTCCAGCGGCCGCCCTTTCCCAGGCGGCCACCAGCTCTTCAGTCGAGTCGTGTGTTAGAGTCTCAGGAAACGGCCCAAGCTCTGTCAGGAACCTTTCGGGATCCATCAGGCGCCTGGGACGGAACCATCTGGTCGGTTCCGTCTCCCTGCGGTGGGGGGAGGCGGTAGGAAAGTCTAGTTGAAGGAGTGAATGATCTGTCCATGACAAGGGTTTAATATCTAGGTCCCCTCTACCAAGATCATTCAACCACTGACCAGAGATAAAAATCAGGTCCAGAGTGTGTCCCCCTATGTGAGTGGGGCCTTGAACTAACTGGGTCAGGTCCAAGGCCGTCATGGAAGCCATGAACTCCCGAGCCACCTCTGACGCCTCACCTGCGGATGGGAGGTTGAAATCCCCCATGACAATAAGTCTGGGGGTATCGACCGCCACCCCGGCAATGACGTCGAGTAGCTCGGGCAGGGTCGCTGCCACGTGGCAGGGAGCCAGGTACGTAGTCAGCAAACCCATCTGCACCCCACGACCCCACTTCACACAAAGGGACTC